TAGGTTCTCTACCCTCTGAACTGAGGGTGAGTGAGCATGTTTTGAGGTTTGTTTAGCTTTGGTTGGTAGGTGGAGTGTGGTCTTCCTCTCTATCTTTGTGTTAATGAGAGGTTTGTGAAAGATTTAATGGCTCCTGGTTTGATCGAGTCCGGCTGTCTCAGTCATGGCTAGTCTGTGGTTTTTATTTTTTATTTAAAATGTTGGAACAATCTTTTGTGTAAAATAAAATAACTTGAAATAATTCAAACAAAACAAAATAAAACTTACAGAAATTATTTTGTTGAACCAAACAAAAATTTAAAGACCAAGTCGAGTGTGTGACACTCTGTCCTTAAGACAGATTCGCCCCACTACGGTACTTACGGTTGAGTGGCGTCTATCTTCCAAGATACAATGATCTTCACAAATTGTAGTAGTACTCCAAACAATTTGTTCGGCGAACAAAACCTGTGTTCTAACTCTCTGAATTTTATTCTAATACTAAAATGAAGAATAATGCACCAATGCAGAATTTAGGACAACAAAAGGACAATCATCAGAGTGAATTTTTTTGAAGTCTTAGACGGCTGGAAATGTATCTTTATTTATAGCACACTAGGTGACCATTCAAATTTACCCGAACAGGTAGTATTTGAAATTGAACAAGTACTGTTTGAAAAGTTGAACCCACCATTGCTTTGAACATATTTCAAACAATTTTGAAAAAATGATCCATTGGTAGGTGGAACGGTTTTGTAAACAATTTGAAGAACCAAAGGTATACTAAACTCAAAACAGTTGGAATATATATATTATTAAACTATTAGAATAGTTTAATCAAATAAAGTCAAAAGTTGAATAGATTTATTAAAATTTTGAAGGAATATAAAAATTAATTTATTTGACAAACTTTAGAAAATCACTATTTGAATTTAGAATTAAATTAAATTTTTAAAATTACAAATTTTAAGAAATCACTCAAGAATCTAAAATTTGAATTTAAAATTAAATTAAGTTCTCATAATAATTTTTTATTGAAAAAATTCAAATGAATTTTATCTAAAAAATTAATGTTAGACCCGAAAACGACGTCAATTTTCCATTCACTCATAAATGATTTTGACGTTCTGTCTTCACCGTGTGACTTGCCACGCGACAAGAAACACGTCAGACGTTTGGAACCCACTAAATTTTGGCCTCAAAGTCAATCTAAAATGAATGAGCCATATAAAATATCATTTTTTCCAACATAAAATTGGTTTGTTTAGCTCTGGTGACCGTGTCCGTGTGTTGGTGCCGGTGTAGTTGCAGTTCAAAAAGACTGTAACTGGGTTTGGTTTCTAGCTTGGTTCATCATCCTCGTTTCGGTCGTCGTTTTTCCAATGGCTGGTGTTTCATTTTGTGGCATGTCGCTGACGGTTCTGGACTAGTTCTGGGCTACCAGTGCTGTTGCTACTGTGTTGAGAAACATGGAATTGGTCAGGTTCTGGTGGTTCGATATGTGTTCTGCCGACGGTGGAGGTATCTCTACATCGGTCTCGGTTTGGTCATTTTCTGCTATGTTGGAGCTCTGGTTTATAACAGATTGCTGGACTGAGTTGGTGCATTACGGTCTGCTCGAGGTTAATGCTCGGCTGTGGCTAAAATGAGCAAACTCAAGGTAGAGAGATAAATTTGGTCAGTTTCGGTGCCAACGTTTCTGTGTTGGTGGGGTTCTGGTGTTGTTGCTAGCAGTTATGGGTTCTTCGTGATTCAGCTACTGACGCAACCAGTCCGTGGGTTGTATGTATGGAAGAAGATGGTGGTTGCGTACCGCCGGAGTTTCTGTTGACACCGGTGACATAGCGTCTTTGGTACATAACCTGTGCTCACTCCCTCTCACGTAGTGATTGATGGAATGGGTGGACAACAGCTGTGTTTCCCCACTTGGGCCGTGCTGGTGCATTGGAGAATGGGTAAGTGCTTTTTGGTCTTGTTTCTTACAAGTGGGTTGAGGTGTACAGTATATGTTATATACATATATATATATATATATAGACTTGGTATATATATAATGAAGAAAAAGAAGTGGAAATTATGAAATTTTTTTTATAAAATTAATTATGATAAATTTATAATTTATAAATTATTTTAATTAATGTGTAATGTTTTATTTTAAGTGTAATTTAAGAATTATAAAATTTTTATAATTATTTTTATGAAATTTTGTTTTATGACATCTATTATTGCTTATATATAATACAACAATGATTCATCCTCCCTTTTTCTCCCACCCCTTTGACCCCCTCTCTCTCTCATTGATTATATTTTCTTTTTTTTTCTTTTTTTTTCCAGTTCCTCCAATCACCACCCGCCACATGACATAGGGGTGAGGGAGTGACCCCAAAAGAGGGTCCCAAGCATTATTCTATATAATATTTGTAGCCAGTGAAGAGTGTGCTGCGTGTTTTTTTTCTCGGACTCACAGGTTTGCTTTTATTGAAAATCGTGAAGAGTGGGCTGTGGGGCCCGTTTGTTGTTACTTAGTTGATGCATCCTATTTCGATCGAGAGAAAAGTTAGGGATTATAAAAAAATTTTCATGAAAATATTATGAAAAATTTATAATTCTTAAATTACCTTGATTAGTGTGTAGTGTTTTATTTTAAGTATAATTTAAAGATTACAAAATTTTTATAATTATTTGCATAAAAGATTTTTCATAATACTTAATATTGTTGTTTGACAAAATGAGCTATGAGATTGAAATTTGCTCTTATTAAAAATCGTGAAGAGTGCGCTGTGGGGCTCATTTGTTGTTATTTAGTGGGCGTCTGACCCAAAGGTTCAAGCTCAACATATCATACTCCATTTAGACCCAAAACAAATTTAAGGGAAAATTACCATGTAGTCCTATGTAGGGGATTTATTTCCCTTCTAATCCCAATTTATTTTTAATAGATCAATAGCTCCACAGTTTTTTAAGTTTTATACCCAGAGGTCTCGTTTTTTATTTTTGTATTTTTAAATGACTGTATTACCCTTTGTTTTGAGATCTATATATACGTGAAAAATCAAATTTTTACTCCGTTTAAAAAAAAGAAATCAAATCTTCGTCTCCGCGATCTCGATTTCACTTCGTTATGGCGATCTCATTGTGCTGTGTGGTCGATCTCATTGTGCTGTGAGGTGGATCTGGTTGTGCGATTTGAATCTCTGTGTACAGACGATATCTGCGTACGTTGTCTCTCTCTCTCTGGTGATAGATATATGTATGTGTATGTATGTATCTGTCGATACATAGATATACATATATATGTCTGTGTGTGTATGTGGTTTGTATTTGTCGATATATATGTATGTATATATAGATAAGCAAATTTGCGTGATATGTGGTTTGTGTTTGGCGAATTTTGTTTGTTTGATTTTGATTTTGTTGATTTTGTTTGTCGTATAGTGTAATGTGTTTTGAAGTTGTATTTTGGAATTGTGAATTCTGGTGTTTTGATACTGATATGTTGTAAGTGTATAATTTTGCAATTTGGAATTGTAAATTGTGCACTGTTGGTATTGATATGTTGTAACTGCATAATTTTGCACTTTGGAATCTGTGAACAATTGTTTGTTGGTTTCTGATTTTGTAGTATGGAGCGGTGTTTCATGTTAATGTGCAAATACAGTAATTGTTGTGCTGCTATTAAGATTAGTGACGGATGTAGTTATGATGAAGTTGTTGAGAAAATATGTGCGAAGTTCAAGGAGTTGAGTGTTGGTAACTTTTGTTTGTTTTTCTCTGTTCCTGGATATTCTAATTGTATTGTTGAATGTGATGATGATTTGGGGAATATGCTGTCAATGGTAGGTGGTAGTGGTTGTCATGTTGTTGATGTTATTGTGGGGGATAAGAGAGTTGTGGAGGTTGATGATGGTAATTCTTGTAGGATTGATTCTGTAACTTGTGAGAGTTCTTTTGTGAATGATTGTGATGATGTTGGTGGTTTGTTGCGTAGTTTTTATCCAGAACCAGAGAGAGTTTTGTTGTCTGCTAGTTTGAAGGGGATTATACATAGTGTTGGTCAAGAATTTGAAGGTGGAGTGTCGGGGTTCCGCATTGCATTGGCTAAGTATGCGGTTCAGTGTGGTTTTGCAGTGAATTATTTGAAGAATGATGCAACAAGAGTAACCGCTGAATGTATGATGAAGTCGTCTACGGGTTGTAAATGGTTTGTGCATGGAAGGGTGTTGATGGATTCTGGTGTTTTTTTTTATAATGAAGTTGGATAATGTGCATACTTGTGGGGTTGTTGCTCGTAGATCTTGTAGCAAAATGGTTGGTTCTAGACTTGTGTCTGATATTGTGCAAAATGATATTAGTGATAATCCGTTGACTCGTTCTATTGAAGTTAAAAAAAAGTTGAAGAAGCAATATGGTATAGATGTTTCTTATCGGGTTGCATGGTTAGGAGTTGATAAGGCAAGAGGTGGGTTGTTTGGTGATTTTGCAACTTCTTTTGACCAGCTTCGATGGTACCTTGAGACGGCTATGAGAACGAATCCGGGAAGTGTGTTTGAATTAGATGTGGATGAAAGTAGTGGGCGTTTTCGGAGGTTGTTTGTGGCATTTCATGGATGTTTGTATGGCATTCAATTTTGTCGTCCATTGTTGTTTGTTGATGGTACATTTTTGAAGGGGCGTTACAAGGGGCATTTGCTTGCAGCAGCATCAAAGGATGGTAATCAAGGTATGTATTTATTTGCAGTTAGTATTGATTTAGTTTGTCAGTGTGTTATTGTATTGTGAGTCTGCTAATTTTTGCAGTTTCATGTGGTTTTATTTGCAGGTTTGTTTCTTTTGGCTTTTGCGATTGTTGACGCTGAAAATCAAGATAATTGGATGTGGTTCTTAAGTCAGTTGTTAAAGGCTGTTGGTTTAGGGCGGAGATTGACTTTTGTGTCGGACCGTCAACATGGATTGCTAGACGCTCTTTCAGTGGTTTTCCCCAATGCACATCATTCTTATTGCTTGAATCATTTGAAGAAAAATTTGATCGACAAATTGGTGGGACTTCGTACTAACTATAAGCTGTGTTTGATGAAAATATTAGTTAAATGTGCTTATGGGCCAACGGTTGCTTCTTTCAACATTATATGGAGAAATTGAGACGTATTGCTGAGAATGGTAGAGTTGATAGTATGTTGGATGGTTTGCAAAATGATAAGTGGGCCAATGCATTTTTTAGAGGGAAACGATATGGTGAGATGTTATCTAATGCTGCCGAGTCTTACAATAATTGGATTGGTGGGGCCCGTGAGTTGCCTATTACTTGTATGGTTGATATGATTAGGGTTCAAATCATGACTCAATTGTCGGATAGAAGAGCTGAATCTAGAAGATGGACTACGAAATTGTGTCCAGTTATGGAAAAGAAGTTGGTGGACTCTTTGGAGCTAGCTAAGTCTTGGGATGTGATTGTTGCTAGTGATACTGTGCTTGAGGTTCATTCTTCTATTTCTTTTTATGTTGATATTGGTAGGCAGACTTGTTCTTGCCATGAATGGCAATTGAATGGTTTTCCTTGTTGTCATGCTGTGCATGCTTTGCGTAGTAGTGGTAGAGATATGTATGGTTTCATTGATCCTTTTTTTCATGTAGATTGTTTTAGAGAGTCATACAAGGAATCTGTTTATCCAGAGTGAGAGATTTGACTTTGATGGTGCCAGTAGTTCGGTTATCAAAGCTCCTATAACGAAGAAGCAGCCCGGGCGGAACAAGAAGAAGAGGATACCTTCTAGGGGTGAGAATGTGAAGCAAATCAAGTGTGGGAGGTGCTTGAAATATGGGAATCACAATAAGAAGACGTGCAAGGCTGCTATTTGAGGCCACAATCTATTCTTTTGGATTTGTATTTGAATTTGAGGAATTAAGATAATAAAAAATGTGATACTTGGTATTATGGAAGTAATGAATAAGTTTGTTGAATAGTTTTTTGTTTGTTGATGTGTTCTTTACTTATTGAAGTTGTTTTGTAACAGTCTGGTTTTGTTTTTTATTTTTCTGGAATGCAGAGATGGTTGTTGAAAATTTCTTATTGAAACAGTATAATATGGAAATGCAGTTCATATTTCATAGCGAGAAAATTGTATAATTTTGCAGTTTTAAGAATTATTAGAAACAACTTGATGAAACCGCATAATTTTGCAGTTTTAAAAATTATTAGAAACAAGCTGATGAAACTGAAAAATTTTGCAGTTTGAAGAATTATTAGAATCAACCTTTACTGTATGAAAATATATGCAACCACAAACAGGTAGACAAACAATCAAAAGAAGAACCACAATAATAATAATAATAAGAAGAAGAGCAATAACAACATCAATCATTTTCACCATAACCATAATAATCAGAAAAAGATCATTCCCAAAAGTATATAAAGTACTTGTCACATGTTAAAAAAGAAAAATAAAAAAAAATTTAAAAAAAAGGTACAAAGATATGTTCCATTGAATATTTGTATTGTCAAGAAGTTTGTTCATTGTTTCTATGGTTTGGTATGTTTTGTGAACATTTGGTAGTGCTCGAGTTTCCAAGATCGGTTCTCATCATTGAGGAATTGATTGATGATTTGTGCTCGAAATTTGACCCACTCAGTTGGACGAAGTTTTTTCTGCACAGGTTGCCAGTTGAGATATTGGTTGATAACATTGCAGACGGCGATTACACAATCATTCCTGCAGTGTTTGAGATGAAGTTAATTAGTTAGATGAAACTGCAAAATTTAGCATATTGGAAGATTAGTTTATGGATTTTGTATCTTACGAGTGTGGGGTTTGTTGTGGGCATTCCTCAATTGATGCAATTTCTGTCTCGCACTCTTGAGATGATAACACGTTTCCCTGTTTGCTGAGTAATGCTTTATTCCATCTCAGTTGATGTTGTTGCTACAAAATAGTTAGTGGGTGTTTTTGTTAGTTATAGTGATGAGTTGAGATGTTTGTAAAGGAATGGAACTAAGTATGAAATTTTATTTTAACTTACAATTTGCTTTGCAATTTCAAAATGCTTGTTGTGGCAATCTTTTGTTGGTCTCAAAGAGTCATAGTGTCTCCATATTGCATCAGCATTGTCAAAGACCACAATTGTCCAATGGTTGTTGTGGTTGATTGGGAAATAGATATATATGTTTTTCATTGCTTCTGGAAAATGGATGTCCATCAGTTTTTCTCTCAGTGCTTGATCTTGGTTTTGTAGTGGAGTCTGTAAGTTATATATATGTTTGAAATATGTTATAAAACTATGTAGTAATACATGTTGAGAAAGTAGAAAATTTTGCAGTTGTAAGGTATGTTAAGTTTTGCTTACATTGATGAGTGTTGAGAAAACGTAAGATCTTCCTGCATATAGATTGCTTGCAAAGACTATATCGTTTTTCTCAAATTCTTCAATGGTTGGTTGGAGTGCCAATTGCTTTTCTGAGAAGGCATCAATGACCTGAAACATGTTATATATGAGAATGTGTTAGATTTGTGGAATAGGTTATTGAATATGTACAGAAACTATAAAATTGTGCAATTGGAGACCTACATTCCCATATAAGGGTTCCCTGTTGGTCAATCTGCATATATCTGAAAAGTATACGCAGTTTTCATCTTCGCTGCCAGACCAGACACAAGCACTTGATTGTGTGTTGTTGATGAGTTGAATTTGGTCTTGGTCTTTTTTGGATAGACTATGCCAAACCTTGTTTGTTTTACAGCATGAAATGGCGAGTGGCTTGTTTTGGATTAATTCTTCCTTGAAATTATCATTTGATTCTTCCTGGGAATCATCATCACTTTCCAATACTTGAAGATTTGTCTTCTTTTGATTGGCATGCTCTTTTGGGTTTGTTTCAGCAGCAACTGGTTTCTCTTGGCCAATATGTTCTTGCATCTTTTCTTTCTGCTGTTGTTTTGCTTCATGAGCACCCTGTTTTTTGTTGTCATTCTTCTTCTGTTTTTCTTCATTGGTACCCTGTGTTGGTTTGGGTACATCAGCAGCAGTTTGTGTCTTGTTTGTTGCATGTTCTTTGGGTTTGGTCATTGGTTGGTATTCAAAATCTGGGTCATGTGCTTGTTTTCTTGATTTTTGTTTGATTCTCTTGACCATGGATCTTTGTTGGGGACTGCCAGTTTTTTTGGTGGACATTTCCTTCAATTGATCTTCTTTTTTACGCAATTCAGCCATGAATTTTTGTTCAATTTCTTACATTTGTGCTCTCATGGCTGATATGATCTTGTCCTTGTCGTCCTCTTTGGTTGGTGTTTGTGGTTGGTCATGACCTATAAAAATGTTGGATTGCGTTTTGGTTAGTTTAATGAAATTTTGCAGTATGCTTTAGTATTAGACAATAGTTTACCTTGTGCATGAAATATGTCAGATTTCTCTTGCAGTTCTTCTTGTTGGTTTGTCAGTTCTTGTTCATTGACTTCTTCTTGTTGGTTTATTTGTTGTTCTTCTTGTTCTTGTTGTTGGTCTTCTTCTTCATCAAGGTCTTCTTGTTGATCACCTTTTGTTTGTTGTCTTTCTTCTGCTTTGTCATTGTCTTGTTGTTCATCAGGTTCTTCTTCTTTTTCTTGTTGTTGTTGTTGTTGTTGTTGTTCTTCTTCTTCTTCTTCTTCTTCTTCTTCTTCTTCAGTTTCAGTTTCTTCTTCTTCTTCAGTTTCTTCTTCATCAGTCACTTGATTTTTTTCATCATCACTCTTTTCTTCTTGTTCATCACTTTCTGGTTCTTCTTGTGGTTTTTGTTTTGTTTTCTTTTTTTTTTGTTGTTGTTCTTCTTGTTCTGATTGTGATTCTGATTCTGAATGATGTTCTTCTTCGAGAAAGTCATCCTCATCACTGTCTAGAAGTCTTCTTTTTTTTTGTTGCTTTTGTTTTCTTTTTTTGCTTATTGTCCTTTTTCTGGTCTTGTTTCTTTGCTGAAGAGTCTGTTGATGTGCTTTGATTGATATGCAATAACTGTATTTCTTGTTCAGTTGGGGTTAAAGCACTTTGGTTAACCTGCATTGGAACAATGTGGCATATATCAGTAATACTGTATATTTGGTCAGTTTCATAAGATGAGTTGTACTGTGAGTAATGTGGGTTAAGTGTCGAAATATGTTTTTTGAAACTGAAAAATGTTACAGTTTCATAACATGAGTGATGTTAAAGAAGTGTGTACTTTTAAACTGAAAAGTACACTGTTACATCTCCGCCGCTCGAAATCGCATTCTCAATCCTCCATCTCTCCTCCGTTCGACTCCATTCCCTCTAAAACCCTATCCTAACCACAAAACCAAACCATTCATCTTCAACACAACACCAAGCCGTTCATATTCTCCAATCGGCGACTCTCAACAACACGAAGAACCATCACTACTCTGAAGAGATTTCATAGTTCCTAACTTCCGATTCACAAAAATGGGGGAAAAAAGTAACATCTCTCTTCACCTATTCATTATTTTTCATTCACATTTGTACATCATTCTTTCATATTTCGTATATACACATTTTATATACTTCCAAATGTATAAACCCTCTTTTATATATAGTCCCCTGTTTTTCAACATTTTAAACACTGTTTTTACACATAAATCTCTATTTTTACACATTCAACACCTTATTCTTATTCTTGTTGTTCAATATTGGCTTCTCTTATTCTTATTTTTGAATTTTTAATCTTCTTGTTGTTATTGTTGCTTTTTACAAAATACAATGGGCTGTTCCTATTGTTCATACTGTTTCCTTATAAAAACTGCAACATCATAGTGTTTCATTTCATCACTATACAAGCAACATATCTAAATTTATTCAAACTGCAAATGAAACTGCAAAATTACACAGTTTAACCACTACTCAAAACAAATAGCTAACTTATTATAAAGTGCAAATTAAACTGTCAAATTATACAGTTTGGTAACTGTTACCAACAAAATACATATAACTTCATATTAAACTGCATATAAAACTTCAAAATTATACAGTTTTGTCACTATATTACTCATACCCTGCTGTCACGCATCTGCACCAAGAGGCCTTCAGTTGTGTTGAGGAGAGAGCATTTATAAGGGGTCAAAAAGGGGTTTTTTGCAGCTCTATCTGTTGGGCTTTTGTGAATTTGACCCCCTTCAACAGTTTGATTACCGTTCCAATGTTGGAACGATAATTAAATTGTTGGACTCTCTTTGCAGGGACTGCTGCTTTTTTTTTCTTTTGATGCCTTGGTTTTTGTTTTGGGAGTTGATTGGCTTTCTTGGAGCTTTCTTTTTTTGGTTGGAGGAGCTTCTTGGTTTTTTTTTGGCTTTCTTTTGTTTGTTTTTGTTGTGGTTGGAGGTGTGGTTGGTGTTTGTTGGGTGGGTGGGGTCTGTGGTGTAGTTCTTGGGCTTTTTCTTGTAGGTGGTGTGGTTGTTTTGTGGGTTTTTTGGTGGGGTCTGTTGGGTTTGGTTGTTTTTGGGTGTGGTGGTTTGGTTTTTTGTGGATGGGGAGATGGTGGTGGCATTTTAGTGGATACAGGAGACGGACTATCAAAAGGGGAGATGGTTAAATCCCTGATTGGATTTGTAAGCATATGAGTTTGTTTCTTCCAATATCTTCCAACAGTTATTTCTGAAAAAATGAAAGTGACAGCAGGGTATGAGTAATATAGTGACAAAACTGTATAATTTTAAATTTTGTATGCAGTTTAATATGAAGTTATATGTATTTTATTGGTAACAGTTACGAAACTGTATAATTTGACAGTTTGATTTGCACTTTATAATAAGTTAGCTATTTATTTTGAGTAGTGGTTAAACTGTGTAATTTTTACAGTTTCATTTGCAGTTTGAATAAATTTAGATATGTTACTTGTATAGTGATGAAATGAAGCACTATGATGTTGCAGTTTTTATAAGGAAACAATATGAACAATAGGAACAGCCCATTGTATTTTGTAAAAAGCAACAATAACAACAAATTTAATCGGCGTATTTTGTAAAAAGCAACAAATTTTGTAAAAAGCAACAATAACAACAATAACAACAAAGTCCTCAAATTAAATTTGGGGCGTCTGACCCAAAGGTCCAAGCCCAACATATCATACCCCATTTAGACCCAAAACAAATTTAATACTCCATTAAGTCCTCAAATTAACAATAAGATGAAAATACCCACAATATATCATCCAATTTACATGCGCGCAGCCATCTCCCACGTCCCCATCATCTCAGTCCGATCAGTACACTGTCACGTCTTCGCCGCTCAAAATCTACTCATCAGTCCTCCATCTCTCTTCCGTTCAACTCCATCCCCTCTGAAACCCTAACTCTAACCAGAAAACGTAACCGTTCATCTTCATCACCCACAATCATCTCAGTCTGATCAGTACACTGTTACATCTCCGCCGCTCGAAATCGCATTCTCAATCCTCCATCTCTCCTCCGTTCGACTCGGAGTGTTGAATAGATTTGTGCTATGATAGTATAGAAGAGTTTGAATACCTTTTCAAAGTGAGCGAGGCTGATGTGTTTCCACTTGGAGTATATTTTGCCAAGGTTCCATTTCATAAACCTTGGGAAGCCTTCTTTGTTGGATGGTCGGAGGAGTTTGCTGTGCTCATAGTACCAGTACTGTAAAAAAAAATTGAAATATGTTAGATAGTTAGAAATAGGTGGATGTCTGATATTTTTGTGGGAAGTAGTTGAGTAATGTGTTTACCAAGAGTAACATGACGCATCCAGTGACATGCCTTGGGTTGTTGTTTGCATTTGCTATTGAATTCATCAGTGTGTCTTTTATTGCTTCAACCCAATTGTACTTCTTGATGTTGTTGAGGTTGTCAACATAGTTGAGGAAACTCCAACTGAGTGTATGGCCTGTTGTGGGCATGAGAAGTTTCAAGCACAAGTAAAGGGTGATTACCCTTGCAAGATCTTGACAATCATTGGTTGATTTTCCTTTTTTTGTTTGTTGAAACATTTTGGTCAAAGACTTGCCATCCAATCTCTTGACTGATTTGCATCTTCTTTTGTAAAATGGAAGCTCAAAATCCTTTGGTCTTGCATAGGATTTGGTGGTGATGCTGTCTTCTCTACAGTTGATACCAAAAATGAGCTTGACATCACTGGTTCTGAGTTTCATTTCCTTTTTGCCAAGTACAAATGATCTTTTTCTTTTGTTGTAGAGTGTTGTCATTTCTGCTACAATGGAATTGTAGCATCTGCACCAAGAGGCCTTCAGTTGTGTTGAGGAGAGAGCATTTATAAGGGGCCAAAAAGGGGTTTTTTGCAGCTCTGTCTGTTGGGCTTTTGTGAATTTGACCCCCTTCAACAATTTAATTATCGTTCCAACATCGGAATGGTAATCAAACTGTTGAAGGGGGTCAAATTCACAAAAGCCCAACAGACAGAGCTGTAAAAAACCCCTTTTTGGCCCCTTATAAATGCTCTCTCCTCAACACAACTGAAGGCCTCTTGGTGCAGATGCTACAATTCCATTGTAGCAGAAATGACAACACTCTACAACAAAAGAAAGAGATCATTTGTACTTGGCAAAAAGGAAATGAAACTCAAAAGCAGTGATGTCAAGCTCATTTTTGGTATCGACTATGGAGAAGACAGCATCACCACCAAATCCTATGCAAGACCAAAGGATTTTGAGCTTCCATTTTACAAACGAAGATGCAAATCAGTCAAGAGATTGGATGGCAAGTCTTTGACCAAAATGTTTCAACAAACAAAAAAAGGATAATCAACCAATGATCGTCAAGATCTTGCAAGGGTAATCACCCTTTACTTGTGCTTAAAACTTCTCATGCCCACAACAGGCCATACACTCAGTTGGAGTTTTCTCAACAATGTTGACAATCTCAACAACATCAAGAAGTACAATTGGGTTGAGGCAATAAAGACACACTGATGAATTCAATGGCAAATGCAAACAACAACCCAAGGCATGTCACTGGATGCGTCATGTTACTCTTGGTAAACACATTACTCAACTACTTCCCACAAAAATATCAGACATCCACCTATTTTTAACTATCTAACATATTTCAACTTTTTTTTTTTTACAGTATTGGTACTGTGAGCACAGTAAACTCCTCCGACCATCCAACAAAGAAGGCTTCCCAAGGTTTATGAAATGGAGCCTTGGCAAAATGTACCCCAAGTGGAAACACATCAGCCTTGCTCACTTTGAAAAGGTATTCAAACTCTTCTATACTATCATAGCACAAATCTATTCAACACTCCTTTCATATTCATTGTAGTACAAATCATATTATGAAACTGTGAAAATTTTCAGTTTCAAATAACACACTTCTTTAACATCACTCATGTTATGAAACTGTAACATTTTTCAGTTTCAAAAAACATATTTCGACACTTAACCCACATTACTCACAGTACAACTCATATTATGAAACTGACCAAATTTACAGTATTACTGATATATGCCACATTGTTCCAATGCAGGTTAACCAAAGTGTTTTAACCCCAACTGAACAAGAAATACAGTTATTGCATATCAATCAAAGCACATCAATAGACTCTTCAGCAAAGAAACAAGACCACAAAAAGGACAATACGCAAAAAAAGAAAACAAAAGCAACAAAAAAAAGAAGACTTCTAGACAATGATGAGGATGACTTTCTCGAAGAAGAACATCATTCAGAATCAGAATCACAATCAGAACAAGAAGAGCAAAAAAAAAAAAAAAAAAGAAAGCAAAAACCACAAGAAGAACCAGAAAGTGATGAACAAGAAGAAAAGAGTGATGATAAAAAAAATCAAGTGACTGATGAAGAAGAAACTGAAACTGAAGAAGAAACTGAAGAAGAAGAAGAAGAACAACAACAACAACAACAACAACAACAACAAGAAAAAAAGGAAGAACCTGATGAACAACAAGACAATGACAAAGCAAAAGAAAGACAACAAACAAAAGGTGATCAACAAGAAGACCTTGATGAAGAAGAAGACCAATAACAAGAACAAGAAGAACAACAAACAAACCAACAAGAAGAAGTCAATGAACAAGAACTGACAAAGCAACAAGAAGAACTGCAAGAGAAATCTGACATATTTCATGCACAAGGTAAACTATTGTCTAATACTAAAGCATACTGCAAAATTTCATTAAACTAACCAAAACACAATCCAACATTTTTATAGGTCATGACCAACCACAAACACCAACCAAAGAGGACGACAAGGACAAGCTCATATTAGCCATGAGAGCACAAATGCAAGAAATGGAACAAAAATTCATGGCTGAATTGCGTAAAAAAAAAAGATCAATTGAAGGAAATGTCCACCAAAAAAAATGGCAGTCCCCAACAAAGATCCATGGTTAAGAGAATCAAACAAAAATCAAGAAAACAAGCACATGACCCAGATTTTGAATACCAACCAATGACCAAACCCAAAGAAGATGCAAAAAACAAGACACAAACTGCTGCTGATGTACCCAAACCAACACAGGGTACTGATGAAGAAAAAGAGAAGAAGAATGACAACAAAAAAGAGGGTGCTCATGAAGCAAAACAACAGTAGAAAGAAAAGATGCAAGAACATATTGGCCAAGAGAAAGCAGTTGTTGTTGAAACAAACCCAAAAGAGCATGCCAATCAAAAGAAGACAAAACTTCAAGTATTGGAAAGTGATGATGATTTCCAGGAAGAATCAATCCCAAACAAGCCACTCCCCATTTCATGCCGCAAAACAAACAAGGTTTGGCATAGCCTATCCAAAAAAGACCAAGACCAAATTTAACTCACCAACAACACACAATCAAGTGCTTGTGTCTGGTCTGACAGCGAAGATGAAAACTGCGTATACTGTTTAGATATATGCAGATTGACCAACAGGGAACCCTTATATGGGAATGTAGGTCTCCAACTGCACAATTTTACAGTTTCTGTACATATTCAATAACCTATTCCACAAACCTAACACATTCTCATATATAACATGTTTCAGGTCATTGATGCCTTCTTAGAAAAGCAAATGGCACTCCAACCAACCATTGAAGAATTTGAGAAAAACGATCTAGTCTTTGCAAGCAATCCATATGCAAGAAGATCTTACGTTTTCTCAACACTCATCAATGTAAGCAAAACTTAACATACCTTACAACTGCAAAATTTTCTACTTTCTCAACATGTATTACTACATAGTTTTATAACATATTTCAAACATATATATAACTTACAGACTCCACTACAAAACCAAGATCAAGTACTGAGAGAAAAACTGATGGACAGCCATTTTCAAGAAGCAATGAAAAACAGATATATCTATTTCCCAATCAACCACGACAACCATTGGACAATTGTGGTCTTTGACAATGCTGATGCAATATGGAGACACTATGACTCTTTGAGACCAACAAAAGATTGCCACAACAAGCATTTTGAAATTGCAAAGCAAATTGTAAGTTAAAATAAAATTTCATACTTAGTTCCATTCCTTTACAAACATCTCAACTCATCACTATAACTAACAAAAACATCCACTAACTATTTTGTAGCAACAACATCAACTGAGATGGAATAAAGCATTACTCAGCAAACAGGGAAACATGTTATCATCTCAAGAGTGTGAGACAGAAATTGCATCAATTGAGGAATGCCCACAACAAACCCCACACTCGTAAGATACAAAATCCATAAACTAATCTTCTAATATGCTAAATTTTGCAGTTTCACCTAACTAATTAACTTCATCTCAAACACTGCAGGAATGATTGTGTAATCGCCGTCTGCAATGTTATCAACCAATATCTCAACTGGCAACCTGTGCAGAAAAAACTTCGTCCAACTGAGTGGGTCAAATTTCGAGCACAAATCATCAATCAATTCCTCAATGATGAGAACCGATCCTGGAAACTCGAGCACTACCAAATGTTGACAAAACATACCAAACCATAGAAACAATGAACAAACTTCTTGACAATACAAATATTCAAGGGAACATATCTTTGTACCTTTTTTTTAAATTTTTTTTTAATTTTTCTTTTTTAACATGTGACAAGTACTTTATATACTTTTGGGAATAATCTTTTTCTGGTTATTATGGTTATGGTGAAAATGATTGATGTTGTTGTTGCTCTTATTATTATTATTATTATTATTATTATTGTGGTTCTTCTTCTGATTGTTTGTCTACTTGTTTGTGGTTGCATATATTTTCATACAGTAAAAGTTGTTTATAATAATTCTTCAAACTGCAAAATTTTTCAGTTTCATCAGCTTGTTTCTAATAATTTTTAAAACTGCAAAATTATGCGGTTTCATCATGTTGTTTCTAATAATTCTTAAAACTGCAAAATTATACAGTTTTCTCGCTATGAAATATGAACTGCATTTCCATATTATACTGTTTCAATAAGAAATTTTCAACAACCTTCTCTGCATTCCATAAAAATAAAAAATAAAAAACAAAACCAGACTGTTACAAAACAACTTCAATAAGTAAAGAACACATCAACAAACAAAAAACAATTCAACCAACTTTATTCATTACTTCCATAATACCAAGTATCACATTTTTTATTATCATAATTCCTCAAATTCAAATACAAATCCAAAAGAATAGATTGCGGCCTCAAATAGCAGTCTTGCATGTCTTCTTATTGTGATTTCCATATTTCAAGCACCTCCCACACTTGATTTGCTTCACATTTTCACCCCTAGAAGGTATCCTCTTCTTCTTGTTCCGCCCGGGCTGCTTCTTCGTTATAGGAGGTTTGATAACCGAACTACTGGCACCATCAAAGTAAAATCTCTCACTTGAAGGCACTGGATAAACAGATTCCTTGTATGACTCTCTAAAACAATCTATATGAAAAAAAGGATCAATGAAACCATACACATCTCTACCACTACTACGCAGAGCATGCACATCATGACAACAAGGAAAACCATTCAATTGCCATTCATGGCAAGAACAAGTCTGTCTACCAATATCAACATAAAAAGAAATAGAAGAATGAACCTCAAGCACAGTATCACTAGCAACAATCACATCCCAAGACTTAGCTAGCTCCAAAGAGTCCACCAACTTCTTTTCCATAACTGGACACAATTTCATAGTCCATCTTCTAGATTCAGCTCTTCTATCCGACAATTGAGTCATGATTTGAACCCTAATCATATCAACCATACAAGTAATAGACAACTCACGGGCCCCACCAATCCAATTATTGTAAGACTCGGCAGCATTAGATGACATCTCACCATATCGTTTCTCTCTAAAAAATGCATTGGCCCACTTATCATTTTGCAAACTATCCAACATACTATCAACTCTATCATTCCTAGCAATACGCCTCAATTTCTCCATATAATGTTGGAAAGAAGCAACCGTTAGCGCATAAGCACATTTAACTAATATTTTCATCAAACACAGCTTATAGTTAGTACGAAATCCCACCAACTTGTCAACCAAATTTTTCTTCAAATGATTTAAGCAATAAGCATGATGTGCATTGGGGAAAACCACTGAAAGAGCGTCTAGCAATCCATGTTGACGGTCCGACACAAAAGTCAATCTCCGGCCTGAACCAACAACCTTCAACAACTGACTTAAGAACCACATTCAATTATCTTGATTTTCAGCGTCAACAATCGCAAAAGCCAAAGGAAACAAACCTGCAAACAAAACCACATGAAACTGCAAAAATTAGCAGACTCACAATACAATAACACACTGACAAACTAAACCAATACTCACTGCAAATAAATATATACCTTGATTACCATCCTTTGATGTTGCTGCAAGCAAATGCCCCTTGTAATGCCCCTTCGAAAATGTATCATCAACAAACAACAACGGACGACAAAATTGAATGCCATACAAACATCCATGAAATGCCACAAACAACCTTCGAAAACACCCATTACTTTCATCCACATCTAATTCAAACATACTTCCCGGATTCGTTCTCATAGCCGTCTCAAGGTACCATCGAAGCTGGTCAAAAGAAGTTGCAAAATCACCAAACAACCCACCTCTTGCCTTATCAACTCCTAACCATGCAACCCGATAAGAAACATCTATACCATATTGCTTCTTCAACTTTTTTTTAACTTCAATAGGACGAGTCAACGGATTATCACTAATATCATTTTGCACAATATCAGACACAAGTCTAGAACCAACCATTTTGCTACAAGATCTACGAGCAACAACCCCACAAGTATGCACATTATCCAACTTCATTATAAAAAAAAACACCAGAATCCATCAACACCCTTCCATGCACAAACCATTTACAACCCGTAGACGACTTCATCATACATTCAGCGGTTACTCTTGTTGCATCATTCTTCAAATAATTCACTGCAAAACCACACTCAACTGCATACTTAGCCAATGCAATGCGGAACCCCGACACTCTACCTTCAAATTCTTGACCAACACTATGTATAATCCCCTTCCAACTAGCAGACAACAAAACTCTCTCTGGTTCTGGATAAAAACTACGCAACAAACCACCAACATCATCACAATCATTCACAAAAGAACTCTCACAAGTTACAGAATCAATCCTCCAAGAATTACCATCATCAACCTCCACAACTCTCTTATCCCCCACAATAACTCAACAACATGACAACCACTACCACTAACCATTGACAGCATATTCCCCAAATCATCATCACATTCAACAATACAATTAGAATATCCAGGAACAGAGAAAAACAAACAAAAGTTACCAACACTCAACTCCTTGAACTTCGCACATATTTTCTCAACAACTTCATCATAACTACATCCGTCACTAATCTTAATAGCAGATAACTACATCCCTCACTAATCTTAATAGCAGCACAAGAATTACTATGTTTGCACATTAACATAAAATACCCCTCCATATTACAAAATCACAAACCAACAAACAATTGTTCACAGATTCCAAACTGCAAAATTATACAGTTACAACATATCAATACCAACAGTGCACAATTTACAATTCCAAATTGTAAAATTATACACTTACAACATATCAGTATCAAAACACCAGAATTCACAATTCCAAAATACAACTTCAAAACACATTACACTATACGACAAACAAAATCAACAAAATCAAAATCAAACAAACAAAATTCGCCAAACACAAATCACATATCACGCAAATTTGCTTATCTATATATACATACATATATATCGACAAATACAAACCACATACACACAGACATATATATATATATATATATATACATATATATGTATATCTATGTATCGACAGATACATACATACACATAAATATATCTATCACCAGAGAGAGAGAGAGAGACAACGTACGCAGATATCACCTGTACACAGAGATTCAAATCGCACAACCAGATCCACCTCACAGCACAATGAGATCGACTACACAACACAATGAGATCGCCACAACGAAGAGAAATCGAGATCGCGGAGACGAAGATTTGATTTCCTTTTTTTAAACGGGGCAAAAATTTGATTTTTCACGTATATATAGATCTCAAAACAAAAGGTAATACAATCATTTAAAAATACGAAAATAAAAAACGGGACCTCTGGGTATAAAACTTAAAAAACTGTGGACCTATTGATCTATTAAAAATAAATTGGAATTAGAAGGGAAATAGATCCCCTACATAGGACTACATGATAATTTTCCCTTTTTTAGTTGATGCACCCTATTTGGGCAAAATGGGCTGTGAAGTTGAAATTTTTCTCCCCAAATAGGCCTAATGCACAGAGTTTTTAGACTGTGCAGATGCGTGCAGTCCGTGTATTGAATAGTATTGACCCTCAGTTTCGATTAGTGGTTTAGGCGCCTGCTACTAAATGTGGTTTCAATTTTGTTGGAGTGAAATATCTTAGGGTCATGAGGCCCACGTATTTGGGTGGTGTTTTGGGCCCCTACATATGACTACATGGTAATTTTCCCCTAAAAAAGCAACTAAAAAATCTAAAAAAAATCAACTTTCCCACTAGAAAAAACTACATTTTTTAGAAACAATGAAAGCAACAGTTTATAGATTCTATAATATACATATACATATATATACAAACTAAAAAAAGTGCAGATAAAATTTGACAAAAGGCAGTGGAATACCTCGCACGAATTCCAAGATAAACGTTAGGGCGATAAGTTCCCCGATACAAGCTCTCCTTGTGATCACCTTGAAACTACAACAATTGATTCATCCAAATCTCAGTAACACACACACACACATATATATATTATATGAGTTCATTCAAATTGTAGATGAAAGTTTCACCTGAGGAAGATCCATGATCTTTGGGGCAGGGAATGGGGTCACGACCCTGGGTTTCTGAGGATGTTCAACGGCAATTATAAGTCGATGAATCATGAAAAGGACAATCAAGAACGCGATGATAGCAAACCCTAGAACAACTTTGAGATCAACATTTAAGAGGCGAAACACAACACAATGAGATCGCCACAACGAAGAGAAATCGAGATCGCGGAGATGAAGATTTGATTTCCTTTTTTTAAACGGGGCAAAAATTTGATTTTTCACGTATATATAGATCTCAAAACAAAAGGTAATACAATCATTTAAAAATACGAAAATAAAAAACGGGACCTCTGGGTATAAAACTTAAAAAACTGTGGACCTATTGATCTATTAAAAATAAATTGGGATTAGAAGGGAAATAGATCCCCTACATAGGACTACATGATAATTTTCCCTTTTTTAGTTGATGCACCCTATTTGGGCAAAATGGACTGTGAAGTTGAAATTTTTCTCCCCAAATAGGCCTAATGCACGGAGTTTTTAGACTGAGCAGATGCGTGCAGTCCGTGTATTGAATAGTATTGACCCTCAGTTTCGATTAGTGGTTTAGGCGCCTGCTACTAAATGTGGTTTCAATTTTGTTGGAGTGAAATATCTTAGGGTCATGAGGCCCACGTATCTGGGTGGTGTTTTGGGCACATGTGTTTGTTTTGTAAATGGGCTGGTTTAACAGGCCAACACATGAAGGAAAATCATGTTTTTTTTTTTAAATTGGGCTCATTGATTTTTTTTGAAAAAAATAAATTGTTTGAAAAAAATATTTATTTGTTTACATATAAATGATGTTTTCATAGAATATGAGAATTGTTAAACTTTTAGAAATTGTTTGTTCAAAATATTGATATAGTCTTGAAGTGACTAAATGGTTGAGATTACTCTAAGTGTGAGAATTATGTTGTCTCATGGATGAATTGGGATAAAAGTATTTATATTCATCTTGAGAAATTACATTGAATTGAGAAATGAGAATTTTGATCACAATGAGAACATTCTGTGGAAGTATTGAAAGTGGAAGAAATATTGTATTATATTATTAATCATTACATTGACATATTAATTCATTTGATAATGATGAGTTTTGACATTTGATTTGAAAATTTTGTATTGAGAAAAGAATGTTGGGAAACAAGTTTTCATGAAATGATTTTGGAGTAAATACAGTGGTAAGTCTTGAAAGGTGGTGTAGATTACAGGTGTCGTGCCTTCCAGTTAATACTGGTAAAAATGACAGATTACAGGTGTCGAGTCTTCCAGTTTATACTGGTAAAAATGACAAATTGGTAGTACTTGAATAGTCTACTTGCAGGTACCAGCCTAAGGATTACCTGAGTCGTATTTACCACCTTGGAATTTTATTGAAATTGTTGGATTAATATGTTTTCAAATTGGCATTGTGCATAAGATCTTCAAAAGATGAGAAAAATATTTTGAACATGATGTGTCATATACACTCATCTCATAAGACTGTATAAAATGTATTGATGCTTTGTTAAATGTCATTATAAATTGTTTAACTATTTGATTCCATTGACAAATGAGTAATTGAATGAATTGAAAAGAATGTCACGTTGCTTTTGAAGCATGTTTATTTATTTAAATTAACTAGTTGTGGTGAATTAAAATAAATTAGGTTCAAGAGATTATGTAATAGAATAATATGGTTTTGACATGATATGATTTCACGTATATGTATGACTATTTTGATACTCGCATATCTTCTAATGTTTTAATATGAGATTGTTTGGTGAGCTAGTGGTTGCTCACTCCCTACCTGTACATGTGTACATGGAATGTTTTTCGGATTTGAAGATCAAACAATGGGTTTTACCATTTCATAAGTGTAATGTAATGATGGATTGTACTACTTTATTTGTTTATTTGGCTGAGTGCTATTTTTTTGTAAAGAGTAGTGTTATTTTTTTTTATTGTAAGTCTCAGGGCATTTCTTTTATTTGTATGAAAATGTTATTGTTGTATCATGAGAGGGAATATGTATATTTAATTATTCATCATTTCATCAAATCATGAATTGGCATTTGTAAATGGACTTGATTAATGAATATTGGTAATGTTATCCAAGTAATAAAATACAGGGCGTGACACTGATGAATCTAGGTGAGGACTCGAAATCATTGTTGATTTTTGTTACTTCTGTGGGTACTTTGAATATATACATATATATAGTTATAGATTATATACACACACACACATATATATATACACATTAATTTTTGAAAAAATGGTTGAGAGTACTAAAAGTGGTGCTCTAATAACACCACTAATGATGTGGCAGTGAGCAGGCCCACTGCCTATGCCTATGCCTTGTTTTTTTTTTTTTTTTTTTACATTCCCAATGTATTAGTGCTATTAGTGGTCTTTTTTTAGTGGTATGAATCATTGTTGTAATTTTTGATAGAAATTATGTTGATTAAATTAATTTAGGTTTTTGTTTTGGGTTGTAATTTTGGAGAGAGAAAGAGGAAGACCAATGGCATGCCTTTGCAAATTTAAAGATGTTCTAGGGATATTTTGATCTTAAAATGTAACTTACTCTCTGTGTGGGCATTTGAATTACACAGTCTGTTAACTTGGATGGAAAAGTGAACGGTGCGTTTTAGTCCACTAACCACAAAGGGGTTATGTGGTGATATTTGAATGTCAGGAGGGTAATCCGCATATGGCCTAAACTATAGAAGGGGTAAAGTGCCCTTTTTAAAAATTGTAAACAAACAAAATACTAAAATCATATTGTGGAATCATATTTAAAAAGTTTCACCAAACACAGCCTTAATTTTTATCTACTTTTCTCACGCAAAATTTCCCCGAACAATTGCACCAAATTTGTAACATAGTTCTTGATTCATAAATTTCCCCAGAGAATTGTTTTCTCCCTTTCTTTAGATTTCTCATATTCACACAAGCATGTATTTCATATTGATCAAGCTGACAAATCAATGAAAGATTGCCCCAAATTAGAGCAGGATCTTGTCCTATAAAGGTTCTAGAGATTCTCTAGATTTGCAAATCAAATGGAAAGTATCATGTCTTACTTTTAGAAGGTGCTAGCTCACTATATGCAAGGGTAGGCTTGTGTCAGAAAGGTGCCTTGGCTATGGCCACCTATATACCTTTCAAACCCTCATCGAGAAACAAGGGGTAATACGTGGTGACCAAAGTCCAAGGTTTGCATACCCGACTTAACATAGCCCACGACTGACAAGCTGTCCGAGATATTAAGCAGTGAATGTGGTGTAAAAAGTGATTTGGTAAAAATAGGTTTTTTTAAAAATTTTGATCTAATTTTTAGGTGAGATTTATACGTCAAAGTTGGCGGGTCCATGTAGTAACACGTTCTTTGCAGTGTAACAATTTATGCTGTATATTTGGTTACTTAAAAACCATTATCAGGTGAATAAAAAACCAATATCAAAATGAGCTCTATGAAAATGGATTTTAAATGGCCAAAACGACGTCGTTTTGGCCATTTGAGCCACTTTTGAGCCACAAAATTTGAGTTACGAGACATTTTCCGATTTGCAAATCAAATGGAAAGTATCATGTCTTACTTTTAGAAGGTGCTAGCTCACTATATGCAAGGGTAGGCTTGAGTCAGAAAGGTGCCTTGGCTATGGCCACCTATATACCTTTCAAACCCTCATCGAGAAACAAGGGGTAATACGTGGTGACCAAAGTCCAAGGTTTGCATACCCGACTTAACATAGCCCACGACAAAACATTGGTCCGAGATATTAAGCAGTGAATGTGGTGTAAAAAGTGATTTGGTAAAAACAGGTTTTTTTAAAAATTTTGATCTAATTTTTAAGTGAGATTTATACGTCAAAGTTGGCGGGTTCATGTAGTAACACGTTCTTTGCAGTGTAACAATTTATGCCGTATATTTGGTTACTTAAAAACCATTATCAGGTGAATAAAAAACCAATATCAAAATGAGCTCTATGAAAATGGATTTTTGGTGAAGTTTTCATAAATAATGGAGTTAAGGTTTGTCTCACATTGCTTTGGTGGGCAAACTTGGTGTGGGTTTATAAGTCTTGGGTTTACATCTTGGGGAGGGCCTTAAGGGGTACCCAAGTTTTGTAGAAGGGTGAGATTATGGACAAAGTGAAGTAGACCCATTGGATCCAAAACAAACACACACGCGCGCCGTCCGTCTGTTAGGTTGGCGGCGCAGGTGTGTGGTGGGAGATTAGGTTGGGCTTGTTCGGCCCCATGCTTAACTTTTTGGGTCAAAAACTTTTGAATTTTATTTTTTTTAAAATTAAATTCTTACCATTTGGAATTTGAATTTCGGTTTGAAATTCAAAATTAATTCCAAATTGACCTCAACGTTTCTGAATGTTGGCAGTTTGGTCCAATGCATCTATTCTTTCAAACCGAATGAGTTCTTACCTATTTAAATTCAACCTAGACAAGTTTTATCTATTCAAATCTGTTTGAACAAGTTTTTACCCGTTCAACTCTGTCTCTAATAGTTTTTTTTTACCTTTTGAAATCTGTTCTGAAAAGCCCCCACTTCTCCTATAAATAGTCAGTTCCTCATTTGGATTTTGCAATCAATTTTGTCTGTTCTTGCTTTTGTCATTGCTCTCTACATTTTGCTGCATTTATTTTCTATGAGAAAGAGTATATATATAGAGTGTGTTCATTGTGCAAACAGTTTGTAGTGCTACTACTGTTCGTTGTATATCATTTCATCATGGGAGAAAGGCGTCCATAATCTGTGAGCACCCTAGAAAGGACAAATCTGTCTTAAGGAGACAGTTTTGAAAACTGGACTTGGTCTAAATATCAGAGAAAATAATACTGTAAGTGCTTAGTTTTATTATTTGTTTTTATTTATTTATCTTTTTTAGATTCTGTTTTGTTTCTGTAAGAAAATAAGAATCTATTTTCTTGGTTTTTATATTTTGTTTTGTTTTTTTAGTAAATAAATAGACTCTCTTATTTATTAATTTATTTTTCAAATACAGTAAAAATTGTCTAACATGTGGGGGTTAAAGTGAACCTTAAATGATGCAAATCCAATGAACAATATGGAAGGCTTTGAATCTCATATTAGAACTTTTGAGTCAAACTCTCTTGTTTTCCCAATAGAGTTGCTAGGAACTGTAGGATCTCTAGAAGGTATCCAAGGTGACCGACAGTTCATCCCCATCTTGTGCACAATGTGCAATGTGAAAATCAGTGAGGGTCTAATCTATTGAAATGCCAAATAAATAACTTATCTGTCACGATTCAAACCCGCCCCTAAAAGTTTGGTGTCGTAACCGGTCAGTAATTCAAGATTATCAAAGGCCTTCTTGTACAAAACATAAATAATCGAGGCTAGCGGAAGCAAAGACAAAATACCATAAGTCCAATGAGCTGTGCATTTATATGAACAAATAAATACATGCAAAAACGTTAATTTACCCACTTACATTACATGACATATAACAAAATATAATTTTTAAGGTTGTAGTTTCAAAGTTGACTTTTTTAGGCTTCTTTTAATATTATTTGTTTTTCCTATAATTTTTAAATTAAAAAAATGATTTTATTTTAAAAGTTGAAAAATTAGGTACCGGATAAAAAAAGAAAAACCCAATAAAGTTATTGCTAAACAAAAGTGCAATTGCAAGAAAATTTTAAGCCAAGATAAATTTAGGAAACATTTTTCATACAAGAACTATTATTTTAGGACATCTAGACATAATCGTACATAATGTAATCAAAAGCTATATGTCGCCATTTATTTTCCTTTGTTTTCATTACCTTAGTTGTAAGGTGATACGCTCATGGTCTTAGCTTATTTGTTGGCTTATAACCACTTATGAGCTGTAAACATTACAATTATGAGAATATCCCTTAAATAATCAATTATATGACAATAACCATAATAAGAAAAAAGTGGTAAAATTCTTAGATTTGACTTTCAAAGGTTTAGGACTAACCTACATTATGCTAGCTTGTTAGTGCAATGAAGAACCAAAATAGGGTGGGACAAAGCCAAAATAGTAAAATCGAACTGTACTTTTTTCCCCCTCCATAATCACAATGTTTAAAATAGTAACAAAGACTCCAATCCTTTTAGATTCAATCTCTCTTGTTAAATTCGTTAATGTTAGATGTGATGCTAGAGAAGGAGAAGGTGGTGGTTTGAATACCAAATTATTTACGAGGCAGAGACTAGGGGGTGGTACTGGTTGGACAAAGATCAAGTGATATACATGCAATATTGATAATGGGGAAACCAGAGATGCCACAAATCCTGGTAGCACCAGGGTTGCTAGCAAATGAGACAGTATGTTATCCAGCAGGCATGGTAACAACAAATGGGATATGGTTGAGTGAGGATCCAATGTCCTATGCTCTTCCTACCTTCATCATTCAAACCGTGTTGATTGTCCTTGTCACACGTCTCCTCGCATTTATTCTTAAACCTTTCCACCAACCTCGAGTCTTTTGCGATTTTATCGTAAGTGCACTGCATGCATGTATTATATTGTAGTTTATCATAATATTGCAAAACATGTAGGTATTATATTGTATCTTGGGTGGCTTATATATATATATGTATATATATAAAGAAATAAATTACTTTCTTTGTGATAAATCCAACTATGAAAAAAAGAGTACTACTATTAACACTTTATTATTTGAAACTACAATAAAGCACTAAGATTGGAATATTACTTACATACATCCCCATGCATTGACTTTGGTAAAATTTAAACACTAATATCTCTTCATCTCTATATTGCTCAATGGTTATAGGCGGGTATAATTTTGGGTCCATCAGTACTTGGACAATCTAAGTTGTTTCGAACGAAGATGTTTCATGCAGTTAGTTTGCAATTGCTTGAGACAATGGCTAACGTGGGTGCCATTTGCTTCGTCTTCAAAATTGGACTAGAGATGGACCTCTCAACCATTGGGAAAAATGGAAAAAAGGCTTTGGCCATTGCAAGTGTTGGAATGTTTTTGCCCATGCTTATAGGGTATGCCTTCTCCTTTTTCCTACAGAAAAAAACAACCATGCAGGAAGGTACATTCATAATCTTTTTCGTTATTTCTCTCTCTATCACTTCATTGCCTGTGCTTGTACAAATACTTGGAGAGCTTAAACTTCTCAACATGGAGATTGGAAAAATAGCTAAGTCAGTTGCTCTCATTAATGAAGTTGTTGGGGTGGTTCTTTTAGTGTTTGTCGTTTCCTTGGCAGAGTCGACAGAAAATGCTTTCATGGCTTCCCTATGGATAATCATATCTTGCATAACTTTTGTTATTTTTTGCATTTTGGTTGTTCGACCATCAATCACATGGCTCATAAGGCGAAACCTAAAGGATAAAAACTTTAACGACCTCACTATATCCATTATTCTTGCTGGGGTTATGTTCTCTGGTCTTATCTCAGATGCCATTGGAGTGCATCCTACTTTTGGGGCTTTTGTTTTTGGCTTGATTCTTCCAAATGGGACCCTTACAATCACCCTAATAGAAAAGCTTGAAGACTTCGTTATGAGTTTTCAGATGCCTCTCTTCTTTGCAGTTAGTGGGCTCAAGACTAATTTTTCAAAAGTCCAAGGAGCCTCCACATGGTTCACGCTAATATTAGCCATTATTCTCTCATTTGCTAGCAAAGTCGGCGGAACTGTCCTTATTTCCCACTTTTTTGAGGCATCTTTTCATGAAGGAGTTGCACTTGGTTTGCTCACGAACACCAAAGGACTAATTGGATTGATTGCCCTCAATCTTGGGAAAGATCAAAAGGTATACTATGTTTTTGCCATGTGTAAGTGCACACACCCACTTGTTTTTTTTTTTTTTTTTTTTTCTTTTGGCATGACGTTTAAAAATACCAATCTTGTGTGCAGACTATAGATGATACAGCATATGTAATCATGGTGATAACAACTATATTTATGAATGGAATTATCACACCCGTTCTAGTAAAAATTTATAGGCCAGCAAGGAAATTTATACCTTACAAAAGGAGAACAATTCAAAAGACAAAAGCAGATTCAGAGTTACGAATACTAGCATGCATCCACACTCCTCGGAATGTTCCAACAATTATCAATCTCCTTGAAGCTTCCCACCCCACGAAGAAATCTCCGATAACTATTTTTTCGCTCCACCTAGTTGAATTAACTGGTCATGCATCTGCTACCCTCATCACCCATAACTCTAAAAAGGTTGAAACAGTATCCCTCAATAGAAGGCAGGCTCAGTCTGACAATATTATCCATGCGTTTGAGAGTTTTGGGCATCATACAAATTCTGTCTATGTCCAATCCTTCACGGCCATTTTCCCTTATTCAACAATGCATGAAGAAATTTGCAACTTGGCAGAGGACAATCGTGCTGCCTTCATCATCATTCCTTTTCACAAACAACAAATGGTTGATGGTGGGATGGAAACTCCCAACTCGAAATTTCAAATGGTGAATCGAAATGTACTAGCAAATTCTCCCTGCTCAGTTGGCATTCTAATTGATAGGGGCCTATGTGGCTCCACACGCTTGCTTTCTGGCAGGGTATCTCACAACATTGCTATGCTATTCTTTGGCGGACCAGATGACAGAGAGGCACTATCTTTTGCAGTGAGGATGTCTGAACATCCTAGGAATAGTCTCATTGTTATTCGTTTCCTTCCAGGTCTTGAGGCAGTTAATACAACAATGGACCCAAGCCATGATGATATTATAAATCATGGGATTTTGTCACTGCAAATAGATAAAGAGAAAGACAAGCAACTAGATGATGACTACATAAAAGAGTTCATAATGCTGAAACAAAATGATGAGTCATTCTCTTACATAGAAAAAATTGTGAACAATGGAGAGGAGACAGTGGCAGCTATAAGGTCAGTGGAAAACATGCATGACCTCTTCATAGTCGGTAGAGGAAATGGAATAGAATCGACATTTACAATAGGACTCAATGAGTGGAATGAGTGCCCTGAGCTTGGAGTAATTGGTGATTTGTTAGGATCATCAGATTTTGCAGCAACAGTATCTGTGCTAGTGGTGCAACAATATATCGGGCTAGGGTCACATGATGGAGGTATTTTAACACCAGATAGCATAACTCAACAAGAAGAGCAATCTATTATGAACTCATCAGTTCGTGGCTGAGGGAGTAAGCCATCTGTGCTTGACACGTAAGTCTTAAGGCTTATCAATATGAGGTCTCAGATCAAATGCCCTGAAACAACACAAACTCTCCATTATCATGTACTTTGTGTATAAGTGGATCCAACTTGCTACATAGAATTTGTAGAAAGACAATTAACGTCAAACTCACTATTCTTTCGTATAGTAATTCTAGGCAGCCACAAAAGTTTCCATAATTTTACTCAGAAAGTAGCATATTAGTCAAGTTTATTCAAAGTGTGAATCTCGTTATACAAGAACAGAATTTAAACAATAGATTATTCTCCTAGATAAAATTCCAAGCACTTTTTTGTGGGTACCAAAAAATACTTATCTCCTATAACTTTCCATGATTACTTTGTCGACCATTCAAAAAAAAAAAAAGAAAAGAAAAAAAAATCAGAGTAATGATATGTACCAAAAAAAAAAAAAAAAGAGTACACAAAATGTAGTGGCAACATTATGACTAATCATTTTGAAATCAAGTTCCCACCAAAATGACATTTAATTGCATAAATATCACCACCACAGCATCCTAACAACCAATTATGTGTGAATAACATTTATTAAATTATCCTAGCAATAGTGCACCTAAGTCCCAGACCAACCGAAATAGCCCTTTAAGCTTAAATCCCAGTTCTCTCTCTCTCTCTCTCTCTCTTTCCCCACTCCTTAAATCCTACTTCTGCTAATAGAAAAAAAACATAGGTATGACTGACATAACATCTATAATTGGATTCAATAAAGCATATACCTCGAGAAATTTGGTGAAGAAAAAACTACTTGAATAAAGAGCAAGATTAATACATCATTTCCTTCCCTTCTACTGAAGCTTTTGCTTTCGAGCTCACTCTATTAACTTCATCAATCCACTTACCAAAAGGTGTTTTAAGACCTTTGTTTAGCTCAACCTAAACCCTAAACTCTTCATTACTGGGCAACCCTAGGGTTTCAGTCTTTCCAGTGCTCGATGAATGAGTTTGAGAAGGAAGGCCTATTGACAAAGAACACATTTGACTGATCATCAAAGAGTTGAAAGTGTACAAATGATTCAAATGCACTCTCAGGGTTGTACCTGTCTATCTCTGCCTTACTAAAATGATCATCATCTCAAATCTTTATGTCCAACTATGTATGGAACGATTAGTTGTTACCATATTTTTTTATATTTTGTTTAATGAAGCAAATGGGTTGGCAAAAGAATACATGAGCAATGTTTTGGTCCACAAGTACTATCGTAACCCAATATAACAGAAATGTTAAACTTAATTCTGAGTATTCTCATAACCCTCAATCACTCAATAGTCTCTCTATAATATGATTTATTAACAATTGGTTGCATGAACAATGGTTTATTGACAATCTAATTTCTCCATTTATTGAACAATAATTTTGTGAGCAAGTCGTGATGATAAAAGTTTGACATAAATCGTGGATCTAAATCGAACTGAACTGCATCAGATTGGTTTGGTCTGATTTGGTTCCATGATTTTTATGTTTTGGTTTGCTTTCAATTTTATGGAATTCTAGGTTGTAGTTTGGACCTTGGTTTCCTCCTATACCAAACCAAATTGAACCATTCTCAGCCTTATTATTGCCAATTAGCATCCTTCTTTAGTTAGAAGCATTCTCTACATTGTTAAATTAGTGATAGTGCAAATAGAGGGTTGTTTTTGGCCATTTATTTTGGTTTTGTTTTAATAGGTGTGGGGTACCACACATTTAAGTGCGCCCCACTTCGGACAAACTTTTCATGTTAGTCGGGAATCATTGAGATCTAAAAATCTATCCTACAACTCATTGGATTCCATTTTTATCGAGGGGCATTTTGTGGGACTATAAAAATCTAAATAATTAAATTTGAATAACCCATAATAACCAAATATAGACAAATTCATTGAAACAACAACGTTGCCACCTAAATTTTTATAAGGAAACTAAAAAATCCTGACTTTTTAATTTTTTTTTTATATTTTATTTTAGCCACTAATCTGTTGTAACTAGAAAAATAACTACAAGTTTTAATATTAGTGGGGAAAGAAATCAATTGAGCACCTCCTTGGCTCTACGAATTCAATTTTTTAGAGTTTTAATTCCATATTCAGTTCCACTTACCATATTTAATTCACCTAAAATATTATTTAAACTACCCTACCATCTAAGTGAGGCATATAATAAATATTTTAAAACCTAAATTAGAATACTTTCATGTGTAAAACAATTTCCTAAATCCAAATTAGGAAACTTTCCAAAAAAGGAAAGTGTCCAAAAATGTAAACTTTCTAAAATCGAATAGAAACATTCTAAAGGTAATATGACCCTCCAATCATGTAGTTATCACAAATAGGCACATATGGTAAATAAATCATGAGAGTATAGCAAAATGGAAAGCACTGCTAAATGCATTCACAACAATTCCATATAAGGCAAAAGTTCTGACTTTAATTGGGTCCAAAAGTGAACGGTGGGATTAGTCTCCTAAATTAGTTGATCCATTGAACCAGATATTGAGTTATAAAAAAATGCATTTACAACAAGACTAATAAAAAAAAGCAGAGAAATGAGAAGACTTACTCAAAATCTTCAGCACTAGGCACTACAAACAGAAGTTACAGGCATACATGCATGAACGTAGATGTTTTTCCTAACACAGGCACTCATTGTATGAACCTAAGGGTCCAATACTTACTAAACATGAGTAAAAATCAAACTTTTACATGAATCAGTCATGCAAACAATAACATGGCAAATTTGGATGAAGGTAAACCGAGGGAAGATCAGACCTAAATATGCTAAAACAATATTATTTATTCTAAAAATGCAAGTTGAGCAAGTTACACACAAAAAATAGTCATTAAAAGTAACAAGGTGAGTCCCTCAAATACCAAAAACATGGTTAAAGAATCTAAAAATAGCAAGCAAGATGAAAACCTCTGGTTTGAACACTCAAATCGAAGAAAACGAGAGAGAATTGAAGAAAAGAGGCCTAGACTGTTCTCTTCAGGTTTTTAGGCCTTTAATATCGTTGTTTTCCCACTTTGTGCTTCAGTGGCTCAAGAACAACCTCTAGTCTTCTAAATTGAGGGCTATAACTACAACAAAAAAAAGTCTTTGGTGACAAATTCATTTTGTCTCCAAACATTAAATTTTCGTCACCAAAGTGATCTGTGACGAAATAATTTTGTCACCACGTTTGTCGCCTATACGTTGTCGCTAAAAGTACCTGATGACGAAAAATTATTTCGTCGCCTATTTTTCATTTTTGGTGACAAAAATTTTCATCTCTGAATGTTGCATTTTTCGTCCTCTATAACATCAATTTCGTCACTAGAATTAGATAATATTTTATTTTAATTGTTTTGGCAACGAAATATGAACAAGTTTTAGTGACAAAATTTATCCTCACCAATAATATAGATTTAGGTGACAAAAAAATTCGTCACTAAAATGAGCACAAAAGAAAATTCTTCAATTACAAAAAAATATTTTGTCATCAAATATTTCAATTTAGCGACGAAATATTCAATAAATGCAACAAAATTATTTGTTTGGAACTATATCATTAGTGACAAAACTATTCGCCATGTTGTTTGAAAACAAATAGCAACAATTTTTTTTCGTTGCTAATAATAATTAAAAAAAAATTAAATGAGGATAATATTTTCAATTTTCAATTTTTCTTTTCACTAAAAATTCCCTGTGAATTTCAATAACATGTTCAATAAAATATCTATTACAAATCAATCCAAAAATATGTTCATTTTCATAAATACCACAGTCGAATTTCAGCATTATATCTACAAAAATACAATATCAACTGCATGCGAATTACCAAACACGTCTCCTAATATTCACAAAAAACATGTCTACTAATATCCACAAAAATATAATATCAAGTGTGGATTACCAAACATGTCCCGTAATACCCACAAAAATATAAAATTTACAATGCAATCAAAATACATGTAAGGTAATATGAACAAAAACACAAAAATGAGCAAGCTTCTACTTTCCAGATTATCAAACACGTCCATATCTAACCTCGAATCTGCAACAAAACAAAAAAAGAAAAAAAAGAAAAAAAAAGAAGAAAAAGAATGCAAGTTAGACAATTATTATCTTATCAATCAAATATACAATTTAACATGCATTTTTTAACTTAGTTTTCAAACCGGGAGTTCTGTACTAGTTTCGTTAGTTTTCAAAACTTATATTGGGCCCTCCCGAGGTGTTCAAGGTGTTTCCCGGGCCTTCCTGTGACTGTTACATGATTTTGGTCTCCAATGGCTTATTTTCAAGCTTAAGTGTTGGAAAAATGCATTTTTCGACTTTGTCTTCAAACCGGGAGTCTCGTGCTAGTTTCGTAGGTTTTCACAACTTATATTGGTCCCTCCCGAGGTGTCCAGGGTGTTCCCCGAGCTTTCTTGCGGTTGTTACACAATTTTGACCATCCGATGGTTTATTTTCAAATTTAAGTGTTGAAAAAATGTATTTTTTGACTTAATTTTTAAACCGGGAGTCCCGTGTTAATTTCATAAGTTTACACAAGTACAATGGTCCCTGCCAAGGTATTTGAGGTATTCACCGGGCCTTCTCGTAGTTTTTTTCACGATTTTGGCCCTCCGATGACCTATTTTCAAGCTTAAGTGTTAAAAAAATGCATTTTTTGACTTAGTTTTCAAATCGGGAGTCTCGTACTAGTTTCGTAAGTTTCCGCAACTTACAATGGTCCCTCCAGAGGTGTTTGAGTTGTTCCTCAGGCCTTGTCGCGACTGTTATATGATTTTGGCTCTCCGATGGCCTATTTTCAAGTTTAAGTGTTGGAAAAATACATTTTTTGACTTAGTTTTTAAACCGGGAGTTCCGTGCTAGTTCCGTAAGTTTACACAACTTACATTGGTCCCTACCGAGATGTTTGAGGTGTTTCCCAGGCCTTCTCGTGGCTATTACACAATTTTGGCCCCCCGATGGCCTATTTTCAAGCTTAAGTATTGGAAAAATGTATTTTTTAACTTAATTTTCAAACCGGGAGTTCCATGCAAGTTCTGTAAGTTTCCACAGCTTACATTATTGTCCCTCCCAAGGTGTTTGAGGAGTTCCCCGAGCCTTCTCGTGGCTGTTACACGATTTTGGCCCCCTCGATGGCCTATTTTCAAGCTTAAGTGTTAAAGAAATGCATTTTTTGACTTAGTTTTCAAACCGGGAGTTCTGTGCTAGTTCCTTAAGTTTTCACAACTTACATTGGTCCCTCCCAAGATTTTTGAGGTGTTTCTCAGGCCTTCTCGTGGCTGTTACACAATTTTGGCCCCCCGATGACTTATTTTCAAGCTTAAGTGTTGAAAAAATGCATTTTTCGACTTAATTTTCAAACTGGGAGTTCCATGCTAGTTCCGTAAGTTTTCACAATTTACATTGTCCCTCCCGAGGTGTTTGAGGCATTCTCTGAGCCTTCCCGTGATTGTTACACGATTTTGGCCCCCCCGATGGCTTATTTTCAAGCTTAAGTGTTGAAAAAGTGCATTTTTTAACTTAGTTTTTAAACCGAGAGTCCTGTGCTAGTTCTATAAATTTTCACAACTTACGTTGGTCCCTCCCAAATTTTTTGAGGTGTTCCCCAAGCCTTCTCGTGACTGTTACACAATTTTAGCCCCCCGATAGCCTATTTTCTAGTTTAAGTGTTGGAAAAATATATTTTTCGATTTAGTTTTCAAACTGGGAGTCCCGTGCTAGTTCTGTAAGTTTTCACAACTTACATTGGTCCCTTCCGAGGTGTTTGATGTGTTCCTCGGGCCTTCTTGTGGCTGTTACACGATTTTGGCCCCTCGATGGCCTATTTTCAAGTTTAAGTGTTGGAAAAGTGCATTTTTTGTTTGGGATGTTCTAAATAAGTGTACTTTTTGACTTTTTATGAAATATGAGTTGAGTTTAAAGTAATGTGGTAGAGAGGTGATGTGACTTAAATAAGATGATGTGACTTAAATAAGATAGTGACTTTTTGACTTTTATTAAAGATGCCAAACTTGGCCTTAGTTTTCAAACCGAGAGTTCCGTGCTAGTTTTATAAGTTTTCAAAACTTACATTGGTCCCTCCCGAGGTGTTCAGGGTATTTCCCGGGCCTTCTCGTGGCTGTTACACGATTTTGGCCTCCCGATGGCCTATTTTCAAGCTTAAGTGTTGGAAAAATACATTTTTCGACTTAGTTTTCAAATCAGGAGTCTCGTGCTAGTTCCGTAAGTTTTCACAACTTACACTGGTCCCTCTTGAGATGTTTAAGGTGTTCTCCGGCCTTTCTCGTGGCTATTACACGATTTTGGCTCCCTCGATGGCTTATTTTCAAGCTTAAGTCTTGGAGAAGTGCATTTTTTTACTTAGTTTTCAAGCCATGAGTCTCGTGCTAATTCCGTAAGTTTCCACAACTTACATTGGTCCCTCTCGAGGTGTTCAGGGTGTTTCCCGGGCCTTCTCATGGCTGTTACACGATTTTGGCCTCCCGATGGTCTATTTTCAAGCTTAAGTGTTGAAAAATGAATTTTTTGACTTAATTTTCAAACCAAGAGTCCCGTGCTAATTCCGTAAGTTTCCACAACTTACATTGGTCTATCTCGAGGTGTTTGAGGTGTTCCCCAAGCCTTTTCGCTGTTGTTACATGATTTTGGCCCCCCGATGGCCTATTTTCAAGCCTAAGTGTTGGAAAAGTACATTTTTTGACTTAATTTTCAAACCGAGAGTCCCGTTCTAGTTCCATAAGTTTCCACAACTTACATTGATCTTGGACCTTCTTGTGGCAGTTACACGATTTTGGCCCCCCAATGCATCTTTTGACATAGTTTTCAAATCCAGAGTCTCGTGCTAGTTCCGTAAGTTTTTACATCTTACATTGGTCCCTCCCGAGGTGTTCAGGGTGTTCCCTGAGCCTTCTCATGGCTATTTCACGATTTTTGCTCCCGATGACCTATTTTCAAGTCTAAATATTGGGAAAATGCATTTTTCAAATCCAAAGTCCCGTGCTAGTTTTATAAGTTTTCACAACTTACATTGGTCCCTCCCGAAGTGTTTGGGCTATTCCCTGGGCCTTCTTGTGGCTGTTACACGATTTTGATTCCCAATGGCCTATTTCAATCCTAAGTTTTGGAAAAGTATATTTTTTGATAGTTTTCAAACCAGGGGTCCCGTGTTCATTTCGTAAGTTTTCACAACTTACATTGGTCCCTCCTGAGGTCTTAGAGGTATGCCAAACCTCTAATTGTGTTAAAAAGATTAATTTTAGCATCAGATACATTAAGTTATTTTCAGAAAACTTCACCACTACAATCCAATTAGAAATTTACCAATTTAAAGGAAAATTCAAAAGATCACCGCACAATACATTTCGGCCAATCGGCCAACTGTTTGCTCGCAAAGAGAAAATTACACAAAACCTTTTCAATCTCTTAAGGAAAATAAATATTAAAAAAAACCATGATATTTAGACCTCATTCAAATTAAACCTTTTTTCTTTTAATCAAAACAAAAACATCTCAATTAGGATTAAAACCTGTGCCAAGCTCCCAATGCAAATGTTGACTCTCTCACTGGTGTATGTGGGGATTGAAGCATTTGAATTAGTTGTTGGATAATACCTTTTTGAACAATGTGCACCTCCACAAATCATATATAAAACTATAGCAGAGAGTGTATAATAGTGGAATGGGATGTGTTCAAAAAATTTAAAATTTTATTTTAAATTTAAAAAAAGCTATTTCATTCCACTTTACAGTCTGAATCTGTAGTAGCAAATTGCCCAAGTAACAAAGTTGCTTGTCTTTGGCTCTCTAACCAGCACTAACTAGCAGGAACTGTAATTGAAATCAAAATATTATTAGGATACAAAAATTGAAGGAAAAGTAGGAGAGGGGCAACAAGCTCCAAATTATTTAGAGGCCTAGTTCGTACAATATGAATTTGTTGATTTGCTTGTAGCCAACTAAGGATTGTGTAGCCAAAACTCCAAAAATAATATTACAGTAGAAAATCTATGGCCCATTGAATTAGTTTTCTTTTCTTTTGGTTGCTTTGCATTTTGGCTTGAAAGCTTTGAGCATGTTGACCCCTAGCATGCATGGTTGTGATCATCCTATTGATTTGGCATCATTTAGGGCCACATTTCAGTCCAAGAATCATGTTTGTATATGTGCATGTATGATCTCTTTTATGCCTTGAGGGTGTGCCCTCTTATGCCTAGAAATGAGTCTTGGTGGTAGCATTTCATGGGAGGCATTTTAGCTGCCATATTAGGAGGCTTTGGAGTCCCATTTTGCATGTAAAAATTCTGTCTTTACTTGTCTTAGTCATGCCATGAGTGGTCATGTTGGTGGGAGTGAAATGCCTCCCCTTTGTGCCTTAACCTTAGGACCATTACCTTGTTTGTTAGCATGACTATTTGTCCACCTTTTAGACACCTTTCGACCACTGTTTTGGGATAGAACAAGGTCTGTCCCTTTATGGTTCAAGGTCCCATTGCATGCTTGTTTCATGTTTGTTGCATGGTTGCTTCATTAAGCCTTGTAGTATATTAATCCCATTGTCAAATTGGTCTATGTTTGCACCACATTTGCACCTTGTATGCTTAGCATTGCATATTTGTCATGATAGTTGCATAACATTTGTTATGTCTTGCATAATTGGTATCATGTTGCATTTGAGCCATGTTTGCATAACATGCATTGCATTACTTGGTTTGGGGTGTCAAACCCAGTGTGAGAATCAAGGAACATTCATACTACAAGTGATGTAATGTGCCTTGATTCTCGGTCACCAAGGCCTTTGACTCCGACTTGATAAGGCTTTGGTTCTCATTTTGTTTGTTGCATGCATCCTTACATCAAGTGGCAAATTTGATCCCTTGGGCTATCATGCACCATTGATGGCTCGAGGATCGAAGGTCATGCTTCCTTGAGTTCAAAGCATGATAGGAAGCATGACCATGCTCACATGTGCCTGAAAACCCCATGCCATGCACTGTCTGTTCTCTGTTTGCTGTCAAAACTGTCTTCTGCAGGAAGTTTCTG